ACAGGATCTCAATGTAGAACTGGATGGGTTTGAAAATGAACAAAATATAATAAAATTGGATATCCCCTCCATGTTTTGATCAGCCCAACTAGGCGCTTCGATTTCCAAACGGAAAAACTAGCAAATTCCCACATGCTGCCGTCCAATCTCAAGGGGCTCTGGGTGTTGCAGATGCATCTTTCGGTGCGTTGCAAGCCAAGACTGCCGGTCAGTCAAGATTACCTCGAGTTCAGAAGGAATGAGCTCACCAATGCACCTTATCTTGAGTCTGAGTCATGATATTTGAATGTATTTGATTGTATATGCCATATTGGGAGGAAACATTGCCATCCTCAGCCAAACCCAAATGACAAGATTATCAAGCCGAGGTGATCAGATTCATTCTTATGTACATAATATTGTCATGTTGGCTCTGTTCGTGCCAAACTGCAAAATTCAATTAATTGCAAAAAATAATGTGTTCAAAAATTATTGAAATTAATTATCGGAATAAAATTCGAATCGATATTATATATAATATATTAACGAGGATCAATGGTAAAACCGATATTAAAATCTGGGGAAATTAATTAATAAACTATACAACGAATATTGCAAAATTAGTTTGATAAGTGTCCTGCGCAAACGGCTCGGTTCCATGATGATGAAACCGTTCTGGACAACTGGGAACTAACAAGCAGGTTTCCACAAGGGCAAACGAATATGTTCTCATATTTTTATTTTATTTGCAGTTATATCCAAAATTCTCTGGCCCTTAGCAGGCTCTTCTTAACAAGGTTTTCAGAATGCGGTGTTTTATTAGTGGATGTTAGTGGTTTTCGAATAATTTTTTAACATCTTATGACTTGAGTATTTGTTTAAGATGTTCCAAGCTGGTATTCCTAACTCTGCCATAGGCCTTTGGAAAGAGGTTTTTCGTACGCATTCTGTCAAGATATGTTTTACTTGTGATATGGGAAAGCCCATAAAAATTGTAGTAGGGATACTGTAAGGATTTGGTTAGTCACCTAAATTAGCAACTTTGTATGTTGATGTAGGCTTAGCAGATGGGCTTCGAGAAATTCAAACAGGTATAGTAGAATTCAACGGATGCGCAGTGTACTTGTTGATGTAGGCAGACGACCGTTTGCAACAATAATTTAAATAAATTGAGCAGGTGGCAGAAATTGATGGCTTGAGAGCATCTTACCCGAAAACAATCCTTGCAATGTTCAGGCGTAGCATACATGGTATATGTAGATGGGAAATTCGTAGCAGGAGGGGAAACATCCAAGAATCTCAGGAAATGGCGGTGAAATATTTGGGTTTTTGGGTAAAAACACAAGGATTCGAGTCCCACTAGCAGCATACAGCCAAACAAGTAGCAGCAGTTACAGGAAATTTAATTTGTATTTTCGCGGAATATCCTTTCATGACTGTAGCTATGCGACGAGATTTTTATATTGCGAAAGTCCGATCTGTAGCACTGTTTGGAGCCGAAATATCCCCCACCCCTGAAAATGTATGAAGAGGGGGAGGTAGCCGGGAATTTTCATACATTTCCAGGGCCCCCCCCCCTCTGAAACGGGTATTTTTGTATGAACTAGTTTTTTTGTAAAATTAAGAGATTACCTAAAGAGGTGGGGAGTGGTCCTCATACATTTTTAGTATTTGGCTTCAAAAGCTTGTTTAGAAAAAGGTGGGGAAGCGGTTCTTTACATTGATTTTGTAAGGCCATGGATCTTTGATGCTCATGGAGTTTTCCTGGGGAATCTTACGAAATAGCATGACGCTTTTGACCCCCCCCCCTGAAATCTAAGTTTGCTAAATTATGGGAGGCCACCTACCCCCCTTGGGTTAATACATTAATAATTCCCAAGTTTGGAGGGGGGTGGTGCGAAATTTGGAAGGGGGGGCGCAGATGAAGTATTATGAATGTATGCACCTGGGGGGTTAGCAGCAGTTCCATGCCGCACATTCATTATACATGAAGGTTGTCTTGAGAAGCCTACATGTACTAAATGCAATAGTATGCAGTGGTTGTTGCTGATTCTTATCTATTGTTAGGGTGCCTTTTTCTAACATTTGTTTAAGGATTGTACGGTACCGAAAGGATGTTTTTTTAGGTTGAGCCTTGGGTTGAAGATGGTTGAAGTGTGTTGATCTAATCCAACCCTGTTCATTCCGTATAGCTCTTTTAACTTCTGTTTTTTAATCAAACATTGAGTTCCAAAGTCTTATGGTGTCAGATGCTTTCAACCGTCTTACTCACAGGGTACTGCAGAGATTCGCCTTTCTTCAACAGCCCATAGTCCTCATTATCCTCCGACCCCAGCTATCAACTCCCCAACACCAAATGCTGGTTTTCTGTTTGTCATGTATGAAAGGGGGAGGGGACTTGCGCATCAGTGCAGCCATACATTTCAGGTACTGGGGGGCAGGGCACATCCAGGAGAATCCTGGGGTCGTATAGGTTCCAGAGTTTCCAGTAGTAGGGAAAATGGTAATGCATAGGTAGTGGGGTTAGGGCAGATCTAGGAGAATCCTGGGGTCGTATAGGTTCCAGGTGGCTCCAATAGTTTCTAATAGTAGGGAAAATGATAACGCATAGGTACTGGGGGTAGGACAGATCCAGGAGAATCCTAGGGTCGTATAGATTCCAATAGTTTCCAGTAGTAGGGAGAAAGGGTGAAAATGGTAACGCATAGGTTCTGGGGGTAGGTCACATCCACTCCAACACACCCCACAGCATGGGAATAAAATGTATGAAAGGGGGGGGGACCTGCACACCAGTGCAGCCATACATTTCAGGTACTGGGGATAGGGCACATCCAGGAGAATCCTAGGAGTTCCACATGGTTCCAGGTGGTTCCAATAGTATCCACCAGTATGGAGAATGGCAACGCATGCCAAAATAGCCTAGGGTGGGAATAAAATGTATGAAAGGGGGGGGGGCTTGCACACCAGTGCAGCCATACGTTTCAGGTACTAGGGGTAGGGCACATCCAGGAGAATCCTAGGGTCGTATAGGTTCCAGGAGGTTCTAAGGTAGTGTAGTTTCCAGATGGGTCCAGGCGGTTCCAATAGTATCTAGTTGTAGGGAGAAGGGCCACGCATGCCAACAGACCCCAGAGCATGGGAATAAAATGTATGAAAGGGGGGGGGACCTGCATATCAGTGCAGCCATACATTTCAGGTACTGGGGGGCAGGGCACATCCAGGAGAATCCTGGGGTCGTATAGGTTCCAGGTGGCTCCAATAGTTTCTAATAGTAGGGAAAATGATAACGCATAGGTACTGGGGGGTAGGGCAGATCCAGGAGAATCTTAGGGTCGTATAGGTTCCAGGTGGTTCCAATAGTTTCTAGTAGTAGGAAGAAAGGGTGGAAATGGTAACGCATAGGTTCTGGGGGTAGGGTACATCCACTCCAACACACTCCACAGCATGGGAATAAAATGTATGAAAGCGGGGGGGGGACCTGCACACCAGTGCAGCCATACATTTCAGGTACTGGGGGTAGGGCACATCCAGGAGAATCCTAGGAGTTCCACATGGTTCCAGGTGGTTCCAATAGTATTTACCAATATGGAGAATTTCAGCGTATGCATGCGTATGCCAAAATAGCCTAGTATGGGAATAAAATGTCTGAAAGGGGGGGGGGACTTGCATACTAGTGCAGCCATACGTTTCAGGTACTAGGGGTAGGGCACATCCAGGAGAATCCTAGGGTCGTATAGGTTCCAGGAGGTTCTAGGGTAGTGTAGTTTCCAGATGGTTTCAGGTGGTTCGTGGTGGTTCGTGGTGGTTCCAATAGTATCTAGTTGTGGGGAGAATGGCAACGCATGCCAACAGACCCCAGAGCATGGGAATAAAATGTATGAAACGGGGGGGGGACCTGCACACCAGTGCAGCCATAGTCTCTGCACACAGACTGTGCCTGGCACGCGCGGTCTGCCAGATGTTTTGATACTAAGGTGCTAGCGACCATGTCACGCACAAAGCATCAGCCAACGGGCCCCAACGGCTGGAACGCTTCATTTTGAAGGATTCTGTGCTGGAATTGTGCATTTTTTCTTCAACGCAATTCTTGTTGTTCATGGGTGTGTGTGGGGTAGGGGGGGAAATGAAATGGGTAGGAAGTGAGAGATTCTTCGGTAAATTTGCTCCAGCAGAACCTCTTCTTGGTCTCATCTTCCTGTGGTGATGGCCATTGCGGCTACTAGTTGTGCTACTATTTTCCCGCAGCTGGAAGATTTGTCGTTCTTTGCTTGATCTTCCAATGGAGCCGGGGCACATCCAGGAGAATCCTACGGTCGTATAGGTTCCAGGAGGTTCTAGGGTAGTGTAGTTTCCAGATGGTTTCAGGTGGTTCGTGGTGGTTCGTGGTGGTTCCAATAGTATCCACCAGTATGGAGAAAGCCCAGAGCATGGGAATAAAATGTATGAAAGGGAGGGGGACCTGCACACCAGTGCAGCCATAGTCTCTGCACACAGACTGTGCCTGGCACGCGCGGTCTGCCAGATGTTTTGATACTAAAGTGCTAGCGACCATGTCACGCACAAAGCATCAGCCAACGGCCCCACGGCTTGAAACACATGTGGAAGGAGCTGCTGGAATTTGCGTGCCGCCAAGTCTGGGCAGGCGCGGAAGGCGCGCAGAACCTCTTCTTGGTCCAGCTTCTTGGGTGCCATTGCGCACAGTGGCTACGATTCCCCAACTGGAAGATTTGCTTTCTGTGCTTGATCGCCAAGGAGCAGGGCACGGCACATCCAGGAGAATCCTAGGGTCGTATAGGTTCCAGGAGGTTCTAAATAAAATGTATGAAAGGGGGGGGACCTGCACACCAGTGCAGCCATGCACATCCAGGAGAATCCTAGGAGTTCCACATGGCTCCAGGTGGTTCCAATAGTATCCACCAGTATGGAGAATGGCAACGCACGCCAACACAGCCCAGAGCATGGGAATAAAATGTATGAAAGCGGGGGGGGACCTGCACACCAGTGCAGCCATACGTTTCAGG